TAATGAATTTTGGCATTGCACTTTATAATATAATAATAGTCATATCATAAAAATAGAAAGTTCTAGGTTTCATTAAATTATTGCAGTTCTAGCTTTCTTATCGCCATTCAAAAAAAAAAATGTGGAACTTATCGTAAATCTGCCAAATAAAATTTGAATGCTCTACATTTCACATATATTAATAGTATTTTATTTTATTTTTTGAATTGTTTCAGTTGACTGTCTGATCAGGTTACTAAACATGAAACATGATAAATAATTTTTAAATGTTTTATCAAAAAATACAAGACAGCTTATGGCAGAATCGAGAAAAAGGACCAAAGAGTGCGACATTGTTTAATAATATAATCCTGGTTATCATTATTAAACAGTCCCTATAATTTTTGATACTCTAAACATAAACAATATAAATGCGCTTTAGGTTCCCACTTGGTGCTTTAATGACAACTAAAATACTACAACTAAAATACTATTTTTTTAAAAATGAGTCATCAAAATTAGTTCCCCCCAATACGTCTGCTACGATAATGGTATTTTCCTTTTATTTTTTATTTTATACATTTAGACGTATGTGTATTGCTGCTTTGAAAAGTTTTTGTGAATAGAAAAGCAAAAGTCGATTGATGATTCACGGACATAATGAAATGTATAAAAAAAAGACGATGATAATAAAAAAATGGAGAACAAAAAGATATCAAAATTGATCATTTCTATGAATAAGTTAATGATAAAAAGCTTCGCAAAAAGAATAAAATATTCACACAATGGAAGCAGTTGAGAATTTGGAAGCATAAATTGGCTTAGAAACTGAGAATCTTTTCGTAATATTGCCTTTCATTCAAATCTATCACAAAACCCAAAACTGTTTATTAATTTCATTCAGAATATCGTCTAAAAAGTACAGTTTCAAGTTGCTTTCCATATTTCGTGCAATACTCGCTCTTTTTCTTTCCTATTGTCAACATTATTATCATGCTATTGAATAGTGACAATAAAAATTTTAGTTGTTGTTTTATGATTGATTCATGACTTATTATTGGTTCCGATGACAGAATAATATCGATTTATATTCAGTCTATCAATCTACAAATGAAACTTTTTTTGATTGAATAAAAAATAGGACATTGCTGCATACAAACTTAAACATTTGAACATTCATGGTGTATCCTTCATGATCATTCATAAATAGACAATGTTTTTAAGTAAGATCTTTTTATTTCTCGGTATATTATATCGTCAGTATTGAACCAAATATGCTACTGACTTGTATGCCAATATTATATTAAATTGAGCGAAATAAAGCGTACATGCTATGCAACGTTGCCTTGATTTATATTTCTTGTGACTTTACTATTCATATTTTCATTTTATGGAAGTATCAAGAATTTTTCATCTCCATATTATGTACAAAAAAAAGCTTCGATTACGATATAGAAAAAGATTGCGAAAGAGTTAGTATCAAGTGTAATGAACTATGAAGAATTACATTCAATTGAACTTACAACAACATTCCATTAAATCATAAGTATGACGGTTGGGAGAATTTTTCATTTTTGAAGAGTATTGAGTAAGCAATAAAAGTTTACAAAGTTTTCTATGAAAGTAATGGATTTTATCAAGTGAATCGCAAAATATTGCTTTTTTGTTTAAATCATAACAGGATATAAAATTTCATTTGAAATCATGAGAGTCATGTCAAAAACCATTAAAATTCTGTGAAAAGTCCACATTGTGACACTGGATGCATCGTTGTGAATTATTATTTAATACAATTTAATATATTAAGAGAGTATTCTTACTTCCTAGTCACCTATTCTGCTTGATTCACTGCAATTTTCGTGTGCATGCAATTGTAATGAATTCAACTAATTAATGCTTATGAACTAGCATTCATCATAAAACTTGATTTAACATTCATTGAGTCCATTATTGAACCGAAGTTGATCTTTAATTTATTTTTATGTTATTGTTCTGTCATCAACAAATCTAATAATAAAAAAAAATCAAAATGATAACGTTCTTTAACTTTCAATCAATTTAAATAAAACAATAAGTGAGATCCATAAATCTTTCCAAATATTCATAGGTGATATAATATCATAAATTTTGTGCAATATCTACAAGATTTATTATATCCACATTTTCAATGTGCTTTCAATCCATTATCTTTCGACTTTTATCTGATTGAATCGCGTGTTGATGTTATTTTTGATCGTTTACAAGCTGACTATTAAATCATAACTACCGCAAAAATATTGCAACAATTTTTTATTTCAATGAAAATATACAAAAAAAAAATTTCAAATTCCATCATGAAACCTAATTAAGTTCTTCAAGTTCATATATATGCTTGTTGTTATTTTGCTAATGGAGCAGTTATTTGAGAATAATATTTTATACGTAAGTATGAATTTTTCAATAGCTTGCAATCGATTTTATTGTATTTTCATTATCGTGTGAGAAATTATAATTTTTGTGGATTTAAAAAAATGTTCTGTTCATGATCGTATTGACCTTGCATTGGTGCTGCACTCATTATATAAAATTATAAAGCTACCCCGTCCAAATTGAGCTCGTAATCTTTAGTCTTAGGTAGAAAACGATAAGAATTAAACTTACAATAAAAACATTTCCAGAGCAAATTTCCCCAAAGCTTAAATTGATCCACAAACACATGGAGATAAAATTACATGAGTTATAGGTGTGTACATCGCAAAATAAATCAATCATAAATATGAAAGTAAAGTTAAGACTAAATAGATTTATTTGATATCAAGTTACTACGTAAAAATAAATATTTAAGCATAAGCATTAATCATATCAATTCAAATTCTTCTTCATCATCAAATTTCTATACACACAATCTCATTCTTGCTGATATTATTGTTCTATTGAGTATTTGTAAGAAGGTGAGTTTTTTTTTTCTCACAGCAGAATTGAGAAAACGAGGCACAAGAAGTAAGAATAAGAAAAACTTTTTTTTTCCTGAACTTTCATAACAAAAAAGAATGACAGCAAAGTATTCACAATAAATTTTATTTCTACAAAATGATAAATATAAATGAGGAAGAATGTTTACGCTACTTGAGAGAAGCACTCGACTAGAACCAAGGTACCTAAAAGAAAGTTCACTTGCCAGTCACAGTAATGAACTTTCAGTTAATCTAACTGTTACACTTTGTTGCTATTATTCTTCTTCGAGTCATTTAATACAATTTTTTTCTCGCTCAGTGTGCTGTATCTGTGAGATACTCTCATAATTTTTGGCATGTAAATGTACAATTCATTGGTGTCTGTAAGGTCAGTTTGGATGAGAATATTGTTTTGTTTTTAAATTAACATTAATTTTTAAACAATTTGTTAACATTCTCACTTCAGCTGTTTGTAAGTTATGTTTGGCTTCAAATGAAGTTTATTGTATGTTTAAATGATTGCAAATCACTGAAAAAGTGTGAGCAAAGAAGGATTTTAGTATAAATAATCTAAAACTTTAAAACTCCTGCTCTTTGCAACTTTTAAAAATTTGAAATTAAGTTGAAAATTTAAATATTTTAAAAACAAACTGTTATTCTCATAATTACCTCTTAATAAGAATGGATCACTTAATAACACTTTCTGTTCTCTGTATTTCCGTACTAGCACACTATATAGTATGATAACATATGTTAATGTACAAAAAAAGTAATAATAACAAAATATGATGCAAAAAGGTCAAATCTCAATTAAATTACCCTCAGCACAGTATATATACCGAAAAATGTAAAGTATGATGTTAGATATTTAAAGAAAATCAAAATGAATGAATTTTTTACTTTAGTACACGATATTTTTGGCGATAGTGGAAAAAAATCGATATTGGATAGAACGTTTATATGGAAAAAAGCAATACCTTTTTTTTACTGCAATCTTCTTTTATGAATTAAGCTAAAAATACCGAAAAAGTAAATTTATTACCCAGTATATGCTAAAGCTGTTGCCTTAGAACGAACATAATGAAAGCAAATCTTTAGACTGAAGTGCCATTTTAGTCAATATTTTTGTAAGTATATGTTTATGTACGACCAAATGTCTAGGAGCTAACAACAGTAGTTTAAGTCTTTTTTTATGCACACAAGAAGTAGTAAGAATAAAGGAAAGGAAACAGACGAGAACCGCAATCGAAGTACAGAAATGTTTTTGTAGTTGTGTGTGAACATGACCCGATATAATATACTAAATATGGAATAGTAACATTCAGCTGTTCACAATGAAGAGTTTCACTTTTTTCCTTCTTACGGTTTTGTATAACAAAGCTTCTTCTTGTGCTTTCAGCTATTCTCCAATTAGCAATGTTTCTTAGTGGTGTTACAGTTAGAAAGACGTGAGATTTTCGTTTTACTGTGGATTTCTTTTATAATTTTTTGTTGATTGTTGACTAATTTTTCTTAAGAACGAACATGCTTTCCGGTATAAGATTTCTTTGGTTTGTTTCCACAGAATGGCAAACCTACATTAACGATGTTTCTTTCTATCTAGTACTAGATTGATTAAATGTTAAATTTTAAATCTTTTTCATTTATTCTGATTAATCAATCGTTAAAACTCATCCTGTATCTTTACTATAAACAGATATTAACATTCATTTATGCATCAAACACTTAGCAAAGAAGAAATGATCTCGAATATTATAAATTTCATACAACAGCAACAATTTCTGTGCCACCTTATTCTCTCATTCGCACAAAAATGCATCGCAATATACGAAAACTTTCATTGATACTCAATACAGATCAAACTGTATATGTAATTTTCTAGCAACATGATAATCGTTTTTTTTTTTTCGATTCAAAAATCCGTTGGATTTAGCATGATTAGTAGTTTAATAGATAGACAAAAAAACAATCAATACGATTGCATCGTGTCTGCATCTGTTATTTATTGCTTCCTGCATTTCCTTTTTTAATTCCCAATAAATCATTGTATTGACGCAAGCAAAAAGAAAACAACAAAAGTCAACTTACCGCTCAATTTTATCTAAATTCTGTGTAGTTTTGAGAACTGTTTGTTGTTGATCCATTTCAACAATATTATCGGTATCTAATTCGAGTTCTGTGAAGAAAAAAATTTAAAAACGAGAGATGAATTTTTATGAATGAATTAAGGTTCAAATTGTAAAATATTAAAATAAACATTAAATATACTTGTCAACGTGTGAAGCCATATAAGCTTAAAGAGATCCGGAACCGTCTGAAAAGACTATTTATTAACTCAACTATTCTTTTTTTTATCAAGATTTAAACATTTTGAATAAAATAAGCATGCTATGAATGAGTCATTGTTTTGTTTTTGGAAAACCACAAAGCTTTTTGCTCATATTGTTTAGTGCCTCACGCTCAAATGAAGTCATACATGTTACTATCATCATCATCAGCATCATCAGCATCAAGATATTCATAACAAAATTGTTGAAAGAAATTTTAAATAAAGAAAAGTGATTCGTTTTGGGTGAGTAAAACCATTTAAGTCACATAAAAGTAAATTCGTGCATTTGGGAAACGGGAATTGTTATTTTATAAAACTCTTTGCTTTACGTCGTGTTTGCGGAGGTGTCAATGGAATAGAAAATAGATAAAGAGAAATTCATGTATCTCAATTATGTAAGTCAAACAATATCCATATCGATGTAATCCAATATCGTCGAAATCCTCCTTTTAAATCGACACATAGTACTGGAAAGAATTCGTTAACCTCTTTTATGTTTTGAACAGGAAATAATCGAACATGTCAATATTTGGATGGATATACATGCTATTGTAGAATAGAGTGTATAAAGAAAAATACAATGCAATTACAACAATTATGACTAGAGTTTCCAATAGAAATTGAAAATCGACTACAGAGCAAGCAGGAATAAGTAGAAACTTAATCAGAACATGTTCTTTAGTCAATTTTCTATACTTTGATAGACTTTGAAAATTGCTTCCTACTCAATTTCAATAGCCTGAGTTTGATTTTGACCATGAATTTTAGTTAAAAGCAACCAAATTTGAGGTTTAAAAAAATCATTATATTCTGTCATAGCAACAAGAAAGGCATTACAAAAATTGCATATAACTAGTTGGTTAAACAAATACGTGATACTAATAAATGGCTTTATAATCTTGTTACTAGAACCATGAAGGTTTATTGGATTTGATGCTTTTATGTGCTGCAATAAACATCAAAATCGTTCCAGCGCATACAAAATCTCTATGCTTTCATAGCCAAATTAGTCTCAGCTCAGAAATGAAATTGCAATAAACCTTGGAATCCCTAAACGACCATTGTCTCTATGTTTTGATTGTCTACAAGACAATTTAACCATTTATCGAACCATTAAACCAGAAAAAATTAGCAATATTGACTTTTCATTTCGTTTAATTCCATTCAATTTGATTTTGAAATGGCGAATTAATTTTCCACAGTTTCATTGTGAATCATGATTATGTTAAATATTATTTCAACGTTACACTGTGATTGTGTGGAAAAGAAAGAAATGAAAAAGCTGTAATTTGAATACGATAACGTCCCCGCTATATCCACTCATAGTAATTGTTTATTTTTATTTTACAACTCTTTTCTCATTCGTGAATGAAATACATACGACCCCTCTTAGCTTAAACTTTTTTTTTCCCTCTTCCTGAACTTACAATGCCGCTCATTAGATGACACATAATAGATTCATAAAATTTTCATTTGTGAACAAATCGATGATTTGTATTCCCCCATTTCATATGTTTGAATTTTCACGGGCAACAAAATTGAATAATTTTCTTAGTATATGACTGATTGAATGATAGAATGGAAGGTGTTAGAACTCCGAATGAATTTTTGAATATCTTCGAGAATAAAAACAAGATTTTTATAAAATCCTCAAAACTATTGTCTGACTGTTCCAGCTAACACCAGCAACCAGAAAAATAATTGAAAAATTTAATTTTAAGCGAGCTCATAGCAAGACTAGATTTATATAGGTTAGAGTAAGCATTAGTGACCAAGGTACAAACACCATACAATCTTTAATTTTCTTTTTTGTACAATTTTGGACTCGCGATAAGTCGCTCATGATATCTTTATTTTTGGTTCTAATCCTCAGTGTCAATGCCTTACTCGAAGACTAGTTTAAACATTGAATGTGAAAGAAAACTGTTTAAAAATCAGTCAGACACTGTAATTAAATATTAATAAGAAGAGGGCCACTTCCTCTGAAAAATCGTACCTTAAGAAGTAGGAAATAGAGTTCAACATACGAGTGAAAAATTCTGAAAGATCGATATTTGATTAAAATATTTATGATCCTTGATGAATGTTACATAAAATATTTCCTGTTGTAATTTCCAGTTCGTTACATCTACAAACAGCAATAAATGAAAATGTGAAAATGCAATTTTCTTTCCCTGTTTTCATTCCTGGTAAAATTGCGACAACTTAATGAATGTCTGTAGAGAAGAAGTAAAATTATCACGATTCTTTCGTCATTCATGACAAGTGAAGTGTTTATCACATAGAAAATGGGGAGAAAAACATGAGAACCAGCTCTTGTGTAAAGTACCATTCTTTTCAATAGCTTTTGCATTTCTAAATATTCTTTATTTATGCACATTAAAATGGAAATGTTGCAATTTGCAGAGGTAATTAAAAATTTAAATCGTTGGCAAGATTTATTGCATTTTGTGGATACACTAAAGAGTTATTTTTATGTCTAAGCATTTTAAATCGTAAACGATGCAGTCGTTTCTTTTTTGGGTTTGAAATGCAGTGGTTTTGGTCAGTTTAACTATGCATCAAGTACCTTTTAGATGGAATAATTAAACAAGAAATTTGAAGGTATAAAAGAATAAGCAGAAACTTTTTGAGGCTGACGGTTCGAATTTTAATATTAAAAACATGAGGGGAGTATACAGCAGTAAGGATTATTAGAAGAAGAAAAATGTTGGGAGGTTCACAATTCTTCCCAGAAAATTATCTTTATGAAGAGTATGCAAGCACAAATGTATCACATAACTTTAAAATTGTTCATTGTGCTTAAAAATTAATTTGAGATAATTAAGGCTATTGAGCGCATGTTTAGTGCCACTTGAGATTATGCGTATAGATTAAGATTGAAAACAGTAATTAAAAGGCACTAGTTGAACTTGTTTATATATTTTTTAAATTTTAGAGAGTTAAATATAATAGCAAAATATAAAAATTCATAAGGGAAGTCGGTTGCATCTACTTATAGTCCAAAATAGTCTTGATTTAGATGTTCAACTTTTGGAAGTGACCTTAACATTTAAAATTTAAATGCTATCTTTCAATGAAATTTTGAAACTTAATTAAACACTTAAACCAAAAATTAATTTCTGAATGCATAATTTAAATATCAAAACTGCAATTTATATTCCATAATTATTCACAAGAGTATAGCTATTCAGCCTTAACCAGCATTACCAAATGCATTTTTCATTCGCTAATACATCGAAAGCTTAAGGAGGCATAAATCTTGCACAAAAACTATTGAACACCAAAAAAATATAAAATAATGAACAAAAGATAACATTTTTAAAGACGGGATTAGTGCCGAACACTAAAAGCGTGAGGTAATAAAGTATCATGAAATTCCATTTATGCGAGATTAAAAAACAATATTTTTCCGCTTCTGGAAAAAGAAATCCAAAAGCTATGGCTTCATATTGCGCTGTAAAATAAACTATAAGCTTGACTCTATGTCATAACGTCCAAAAGCTTTCCCTAGAGAATCCTTTTGAAAAAGTAAATATTACGAAAATAAAAACATTGTTGACTTTTTAACTATAGCAAAAATAAAGGTTCTAAAAGACACAATATAGCTTTTGTTCAGAAATGCATTTTCGGTGTAACAATCGAGAACTTTTTCAAGGAATTAAAATTGCATAAAAGAGTTTTTAGGTTAAATTATGATGTTTACAGGATGCAGCAACCATAAAATGTTATTTTTATTTATAATTTATTCAACAGTGAAGCCGGAAAAGGTTTCTATCAGTTTCTATTATTAAATTTTTCTTTCCACTCTTTTTCATTCATTTTGCTCCTATCGTTTTCAATATGAAAATTATACGAGAAGGCATGAGTGGCATGAAAGAAATAATAACAAAAAAAGTGAACTTGAATTGCTGGCATATCGGAAATTATGAATATTTGAAAATAAATTACAACGAAAAAACACATCTAATGTTATATTTAAATATTTGCCATAAAGTTCCTGCGGTGATACCATACTTTGGAAATGATTGAAGTAGAAGAAAATTCGAGAAGGGTTCGTTATAACTTTTCATGACTTCAACCCTCTCTTCCGTTTCAATTAGAATTTTTTCTTGCGAATAAAGTAAATTGCAATGAAGTAATGGATGAATATATCCCCACCAAGCTACAAACGGTAACTGAGGTGAAAGAGGTAAAGATGACTGCTGAAACGCATTTTTTATGACGCTATGACTTGCTTGTGAAGCTTTGATATCTCTTTGGAATCAATTTCTCATAAATCTCAATGTCTTCATTATGGATCAGATCTGCTTCTGATTACTCTAAAATGTAAATGCAATAAGTAAGGTAAACAAACACTCAGGCAATATGTCACAAAATATGAGCACACAAAGTGAATACAATGCTTTCAAAAAAATAAGCTATTAATACGAAATGATTCAGTGCGGAATTTTGAAGGAGAAAATTCTAATAAAAATTTCAAAAAATAAATACTCAAGAGGTATTTCTTATGTTTGCCTACATTGAGTACTCACATTATTTTGTGCCTTTATGAAGAATATTTACCTTACTTATATTTTTTTTTTTTTACAATCATGCATGAACATTCGATTACATAAAAATGAGTTACTCTAATATGAGTATTGAATACAGAATTAGAGACATATATACGCAAATATTACTTAGGAATTGCGTAACGCATATTTTTCGGCAGAGACTATTGCGTGCAATTGATTTGATTGTGACACACTCAACAAAATGGCAATAAAATCTGATCAGTGACACTTGCGTGTTTGCAGAACATTTTTCCTCATGATTTTAGTTTTTTCGTTTGTAGTCGTTGTATT